ATCGACTATGAGGTGTTTCGTCACTTGTGCTTTTCGGTGACTTTTTCGAATGGGCGGTGGTGACGACTTCTTATCTGCCTTGAGTATCTGGGCCTCAAAAGTGTCGCCTAGCACTTCGAATGCTATTTGTCCATCTTTATTCTCCGTGACCTTAGCGGTAACTGCCGCTCCTGTTCCTGCTGCTGCCTTTGCATTTGTAGCTGCTTCTTCTGCTTCTGTTGCCGCTACCTCAACCAAGTCTGTTGCCGTTGTCTTGGTTGCTGTTTCCTCTGCTTTTGTTGCACCTACCTCTACTGCTTCTGTTGCTGATGCTTGTGCTGTACTTCCTGCGGCTGCTGCCCCGCTTCTGTTGTTGTTGCCTCGGTTGCTGCTTCTGTTGCAGCTGCCCCCGTTTCTGTTGTCATTGCCTCCGTTGCTTCCACTGTTTCTGTTGCCGCTGCATCTGCTTCTGTTGCCTCTGTTACTGTATCTTCTGCCTCTGTTGCTTCTGTGGCTGCTACTTATGCTGCCCATTCCTCTACTTTTGTGCTGTGGTTGCAGCTGCTTTCTCTGCATTAATTGTTGCTATTGCTCCTGTGAGCCTGTCTTCCAGCGTGTCCTCCAGCCACTTCGATACGTCGTGAACGCCTGTCGGGTTCCAGCTGCAGCTATACATCTCTGCGAGGAGAGCCATGACACTGGCTTGCCGTGCCTCCATTATCTCCATTACTTGTTCTGGGCTTAACATGTCGTGTTCGTTTGTGTTGCCAGTTGTTATGTCCCGTATTAAATAAATGGATCTCACCTGCGTCGCCAGTTGTTATAGCCCGGTATTTCGAACCCGACTAATAGGCAGAAGAATGCAAGAGAGCGGTTCTGATAGGCAAGGACTGTATTCAACAGTACACAAAGACTGTGTGGTGTGTTTATGCTATTCCGAGTAAATAAATGATTGAGGCCCGGAGTACATCAGGACTTTCCTTGGTTTCCGCCCTCTCAGCTTTGTCCACCAAAAGCTGTGTCACATTTTACGAAGTTTGGGCTAGGATACCGCTGCTA